GGGGGGCGTCCCTTGTGGCCGCCCCGCCAGCGCGGCGCTCCCGCTTTGCGGTTTGCAAGGCACGCTGGCGGAGAGAAAGATTGTGTGTGTGTGTGTTTGTGTGTCGTTCTGCTTGTGGAGGGGGGCGGGGCAAGGCGTGAGTGAGTCCGGGGTGGTCCCGCTTGAGCCAGCAGCTCCCCCCGCCAGCCAGACCCCCAGCCCGGCTGGAAACAAACTCCGCGGAGCCGTGTGTGTGTGTGTGCGTGCCTTCGGTTGTCGCGACTGCCCTGGGCGTTTGGAGAGGCTGCTTAAAACTACCCCACACACCTTCAAAGAGGCCAGGATGCTAACCCAGAGCCCTCCTTGACCAGGATGATGGTTTCCAGTTTGGCTTGTGGGAGGGGGGGAGGGATCCGGCTCCCCAAACAGGAGCAGCTCTTCCTGGGGGGTGGCGGGAGGGCCAAGAAAGGTCCCTCTGCCAGTGTCACCAGTCTCCTTTCTCTCTCCCCCGCTTCCACCACCCCGCCCCCGGCTTCCAGCCACCCAGGTTCAGGGCACGGTGAAATGGTTCAACGTCCGCAATGGCTATGGATTCATAAACAGGTGAGTCCCTTTCCCTTTTGCTGCTCCCCGCAGGCAGAAAACTTTTAACTCCCAGGAGGGAGAGAGAAAGGGGGGAGGGGGAGAGAAAGAGATGGAGGGAGCAGGGAGAGAAAGAAAGAAAAAGGGGAGAAAGAGAAAGAAGAAAGACTGAATGGACATCATTAGCTGGGTTTAAATCCGACAAGAACCTTTGCTACCGGGAGGTGAAAGTTATTTTTTTTTAAAAAAAACCCTCAACCCGGTTTAATCATTGTTAATTAAGCCAATTAATTGTTTGGCCGTGTTTTAGCTGTGAATTTCGACGAAGGTCGGATGAAGAACCCAACCGGGAGATTCCTTCCATTGAAGTTGTGTGTGTGCGCGCGCACTTTTTTACACAGACTGGTCTCTTCCGCATCGGGTGGGCTGGGGTGTGTGTGTGTTATAATCTAAGATGGGGCTGCATCCCCTCCCCAGCCCCGGACATTGGCATTTCTGCCCCTTATTGTGGTCACGGCGGCGTGGTCAAGCCTAAATTAATTCCCAAAGGTGGGTTTGGGTGGGGAGCCCGGATCCCTTGGATATTTCAGCAGTTCTGTGCCAACTTCCTCCTCTTGGAGAGAGAAATAGAAATAGAGAATGAGAGAAATAAATAAAGAGGGGAGGGGGAGAGAGAGATAGAGAGTAATAGAAATAGAGAAAGAGAGAGCAATAGAGAAATAGATAAAGGAAGAGAGATAGAGAGAAATAGAAAGAAAGAGAAAGAGAAAAGCAACCAAGTCAGGTGTCCAAAGATTACCTGGCAAATCAGGTGGCACACACTATCGTTCCCCCCCCTTCTTTTTAAAAATCTGGGCTGGCTCCATTGAGACAAATGTTTGTCAGAGCAGCCTGAGCAAACAACTCGCCCGAGGCCAAGTTGGCATAGCTGGGATGCCTTATCTGGAGGTCTGTCCTTGTACCCAGGTGCTCCCCCGCCATTGGCCACTCTCGTGCTTAGGGGAGGGGCGATGCCAGCAAAGTGCCCCCCACGGGTCCAAGGGGTCGGGGCCGTGGCATTTCACGTGGGCACTGGTGGGGGCGGGGGGGGGGGGGGGCTTTTCCAGCAAAGGCGAACTCCAGGAGATGTCTATTTTTCCATGGGGGGCCTTGGGAAGACTCTCTGAGTCTGGGTGGTTTTTCTGGCAGGCGTTTTGTGACCCAACTGGGTAACCTCATCAGTGCTAGAAAAGAGTGGGTTTTGCCCTCTGTTTATATACAGTCCCTTCCAGCACTGCTGAGGTTCCCTAGCTGGGTCATGAAACGTCTGCCAGAAAAACCACGGAGCACAGAGAGCACATAGGACCCCAAAGCCCAACCCTGAGCCACCAATATTCTCTGTATTTTTCTGTCGGCTGGCATCTTTTATTTGGGTGGCCCCTGGCACTCCTGACTGGTAAAACTCCACTGGAAATAAAGGGACTTTTCTTCTTCTTTTTTTTGGCAGCTTTGAAGATTTAAAACTTCCTGCCCAAGAATCATCAAGTTGCAAAAAAAAAAAAAAAGCAAAAGCAAATTTATAATCAATTGGGGAACAAAGTCTAATTGGCTGCCCGCCCCCTTTGAAGAGAGATAAACCAGGTTTATCGGTGACCTTCATTCCTTTAATGGCTTTTATAAGTTTCTGGTCAAGCTGACATCTTTTGGATGTTGGCTTCCAACTCAAACCAAGTTTCCTGATGTGTTTAGCCAAGCACAACTGGATTAGAATTTGGAGCTTGGTCTCCTTAAAGCTCTCGATCCCCCCCCCCCGCCTGTAATTTTAGCCCTGATTCAGCACAAGCAGTGGTTAGCCCGACGGATTAAAGATTTCAAGGTTTATATTTATTTTTCCTTTCCTTAATCTTGGTCCCTCCTTGCAGGAATGACACCAAAGAGGATGTGTTTGTGCACCAGGTAAGCACCGAGCATTGTGTAAGTTAAGTTCCTTTTAAATTTCCTCCCCCCCACCCTTTATTGCTCCCTTCAGCCTTCACCTTGCTGCCTTGCTCCTTGTAGTAAGTTTGAGTCTGCAAGGAAACTCCGTGGAAATTGTGAGAAATTGTTAGAGTTAAAACTTTTGGGGGTGGGTGGGAATTTCTTCCTGTAGCAACAGCACCTGATCCTTGCTTAGAAAAACAGTAACATTTCCATTTAGATTTGGGGTTTTTAACCTTGGCAACTTTTAATCCACTTGTGGACCTCTACTCCCAGAATTCCCTAGCCAGCATAGCATAGCTGGCTAAAGGGAATTCTGGGAGTTGAAGCCCACAGATCTTAAAAGTTGCTAAGGTTTAAAGAATTAAAAATCCATTGTTTGGCTCACACCCACTTGGTGTACCCCGCTACATAGCCAAAAAGGCATTAAGAGTTGTTAACCTAATCCTACATAGCTTTTTCTCTGTTACTATCACGCTACTAACTAGGGCATACAAAACATTTGCTAGACCAGTACTCGAATACAGCCCATGCCCCTGTGCCCACTTCCACCTTTCTGCCCCAGAGCTCACTCTATTTCTCTCTCTCTCTCTCTATTTCTCCGTTTCTCTCTTTGTCTCTTTCTCTCTTATTTCTCTTTCTATTTTTCTCTTT